CTTAGATAGACACAAACATATATATATATATATATATATATATATAATTATATATATATTTAAAATTATATATATATTTATAAATATGGCAAAAACATAAACACTAACGCGAGTTTTATTCAAATATAAATTCATAAATACATATATTGCTATTAACGCGTGAATTATACACACGCTCACATACATACTTGTGTGTGTGTGTGTGTGTGTGTGTGTGTGTGTGTGTGTGTGTGTGTGTGTGTGTGTGTGCACACCTCTCGCTTTTAAGGTTGTCCCCTAAGATCAAAGCTTTCTATCTACGTTGCTTCCTGGTTCCATGATTGAACTTTCTTTTTTAGTCCTTTGATAACGTGTATCATTTAGCCATACTTCTAACGGAAAACATCTGAAAGATATTTTTTTTCGTGCCGCCGATTTCTTTGTTGCTTCCCACTTAGGAATCGATTGAATTTTTATCTATTCCTTTTCCTTTCCACATTCTTTAACGTGCGACAAATTTTGCAAAGCATATTTTTTTTTTTCCATCTTTCTACTTGCCACCGTGCAAGACACATTTGTACATAAGCCTATATAAATATATGTATTCAGTATAAAACGTATTTGTCAAGTCATAATTAAAAAAGAAAAAAACATTGTAATTATAACGTATAAGTTATTTTTTTCTTTCCACTTATTCACATTTTAATACAAGTTCGTCATACTATGAAATAATGACGGCCATATTTAAGTAATTTTGTAACAGCATTTGCTATATTTACTGTGATTAATCGTAGATTTTTATCTATTAAATTAAATCTATTTTTGAATGTAAGAAAGAATTGTCCTTTTCTAAGTAATCTAAAAGATGACTACCATATTTAAGCAATTTCGTAATTGTATTTTTTATATCTTCTGCGTAAATCATCAGTGATTTTGTCTATTAAATTAAATTCTATACTTAATGAAAGCAATAACTCCCCTATTAAAATAAAAAAAAAAAAAAAGATGTTACGACAAAAAAAAATACTATAAAAATGACGGCCATATTAAAGCAATTTCATAAATGCGTTCGTCATATTCCGCTGCAATTAGATCTCTTTCCAATTCATCCTGCATGTCAATCGGATGTGAACGCCAAGAAGACAGCACAAAATAAAAAAGTCGTTTTCTGCGCACAGGCTCCGAGAATCACGTCCGGTCTACGAAGCAAGTCAATCCCACCCCAGAAAAGGAGATAACCTATCGGAGAGATGCCGGATACTGCTTAAATGCTTAAAAGCAGGCCCCTGGTAAGGACCAACATAGTCGCCAGCTGAAAATCACTTACATCAGGGTGCTGTTTCCTTCACCACCATGATGGCTTCTCTCTATACAACCGTTACCACTTCTAGGCTTCACTAATCTTACCCGACTCTTCACATGCGAAATGCGGCCAACAATCCAGCTTCGACACCGCCAGGCTTCCGACGATATTACACAACGTCGTCACTGCCCCGACTTCACTAATCTCACTCGACTCTTCACACATGGAATCCAATAGAGATCAGCTGTAGCGACGGGGTTACCATTGTTGTTGAACGACGAACGACGGAGTTTCCAATCTTGTAGGGATTGCGTTACCAATATTTGACTTTGGCTAGGAAAGGTAGTATTAAGGACAATGCGTGGACGCAGTGCAATTTATATTTGACGTAAATAGCACATAGTATAAAATACAAAACAGAACGGAATGATTTCAAAACATAACAATTGAATTTATTAATATTTGATATACATGCATGCGAACTGAAAAGGTAGGATAGAGTCGTGTCCCTTTGATTAATGTAACAGTTGTACTGAGTTCATATTAAGAAGTAATATTAAACTGTAATTTAGAAGAATAAAGTTTGGAAAGTTGGTAAAAGTTCAGAAGAGATTTCAGAGTTTGTACTTGCGTTAATGTTGGTAATAGTCTTTAACGTCTGACCGCAATGGCGGGAGTTCTTGAAGATTACATCTTGGCACTTGGTAGCAAGGAATGAGACGTGCGAGAGATGAATAGAAAGAAAACTCGGGGGAGTTTACACGTGTTGGGTTACACGTGGATGGCTCAAATGGAGAACACGGAAAAACAGATTGGTCGGAACTGACCAATCAGCAAGCTAACTTGAAGGTGATTGACCAATGAATACTTGTTATATATTTGTAAGATTGTAATGGTGAAAATTATTAGAGGAATAGTGCATTTCCTAGCAGGGGTTAACTAGCTTGTTGTTGAAGAGTCCACACAGCTTTGACACCGCAAGGCCCCTGAAATCAACCACCGTTTCGTTGATACAACATCCGACCTAATCAAACTGTAACATTCCACCACCGGCCTTACCAGCTACGCCTAATCCCACATCGTTACCGTGGTCACCTCGGCAGACAACGCACCTTACCACGAATCAAACTAACACTGTGACCTCGATCGATCAACATGTGCGTCGAACCCAAACAACGACTAAATCAACTCCAGACCTATCCTGTGACCTCGGCCAAACCAATCCAAGTAATCGGTCAACTCCCGGCACCTTCCTTTCACGTAATCGCTTTCTTGACGATCAGCAACCGAAATCGACATTTTACAATTTTTAACAACTCTAAATAAAGGCACGGTGGAGTAATGGATAACGTCTCGGATTGAGAAATCGGAGAGCCGAGTTCGAATTCCAGTCGGATCTATTACATTCACGTACGTGTTAATACCATTGGGAAAGGTAAATTTCTTCTCCCCCAAGTTATGGGTAAATAGCATGGATGGTAACTGGTCTACCATAGAAAGAAATGGCAACTACCGCGGGAAAAAATCTACCTCGAAAGACACATCATCGCCTAAGCGTGGCACATAACTGATTAGTATATACCATGTATATTAAACGAATACACGCTGTTTGAAGATGTTGTGGAATCTTCCACGACCAACCAGTCTTTCCTCTTTTTAGAAAATGCACTCTTCCTATCTGGTAAATAAAATCCTACTTTCACACAAAATATCAACGAGAAAACATTGGTTAATCACCTTCAATCTAGCTTGCTGATTGGTCAGTTCTGACCAATCAAACCGCCTGCACGCGACAAATCTGTTTCACCGCGTTTTCCATTTCATCCTATCACGTGATACAGGCAGATATATAAATCCAACACGTGTGATATTCTCTCTCTCTATTTCCTGCTCTTCCTGACTCAAGCCTAACTTATCTACGTCACTCGTACATCTCAACACACCGCCAAAATGTGACCCTAAAGGAATTCCGTCTTGACTGATCCAGTCAGACGTTAAATCAAGGATGGCCAACCTGTGGCGCATGGGCCGTAAGTGGCGCATTGGATGCTTACAAGTGGCGCATTGCATCTGTTGCGGACTGGTGATTGTGTTTAAATTGATCAGAAGGAATTTCGAGGCTGTGTTCTACAACATTCGCCCACAACAATTATTTAGAACAAATACTTGGAACAAATCATGCAAATAAAGTTGAAAACAAGACAAAAGTTGAATGCATAACAATAACATCAATTTATATACAATTTATACAAATATTCAAAGTTGTTCAAAGTTGCGTACCTTTATCTGCTTGAGAAAAATAGATTGTTAGTTACTGATACTTGTTATGTAGTTAGAAATATCACTTTGAAAGTATAGTAAGTGAAGTTTGAGAAATGTTCTAGAGAGAGATAGAGTGTGTCCGAAGGTTGCTGAGTCAGAGAATATTTTTACGCGGCAAAGTCAGAGATTTTGACTGGCGTGGAGTTGATGGGCATCTCTCTAGATGTGGAGGTCTGACTGTCTAAAGTTGGTAATTGTCTTTAACGTCTGTTCAGCAATGGCTAAGACGGGAGTCGGTAAAGGTTACATCTTGGCACTTGGTAACTACTACTCGAAAGGTTCACACGTGTTCGGTTTTTATAATGGCTGAGTGGCTCCCAGCATATGAGCGGGAAAACAGATTGGTCGCGTGCAGGCGGTTTGATTGGTCGGAACTGACCAATCAGCAAGCCAGATTGGAGGTGATTGACCAATGAATACTTGTTATATTGTCTGAAAGTAGAATTTGGCATACCAGCTAGGAAGAGTGCATTTCCTACAAAGAGGTAAGGCTGGTTGTGTTGTGGGAGATTCCACACACCCTTTTGATGAAAAGAAACTAAACCACTTCTACTCATTCATTTCAGTGATTTTAGATTTATTGCACGTCCTTTGTCAAAGTGCTAAAAGGATACGCCTCTGGTCATAAGCATATACTTTTCAAATAAATAGATTTTATTATACCTTTAAAATATGTCCATATTACAACACGTACTGAAAGGAAGTGAATGTTTGTGTGGCGCATTTAAGTTAATCGTACAAAATATTGGCGCATGGAATCAAAAGGTTGGCCACCCCTGAGTTAAATGAGCAATACTTAATTCATGAAAGTATTATCTCTGAACTCTACATAACATGTTTATACAATTCCAAACACTCAATACAAACTTATTACTTTCTCATAATATGAACTCAGGTACAACTATTTACCTAATCAAAGAGACACAACTCTGTCTAGCCTTTTCACTCAGTATTCATGCATGTATACCAAACACTAATAAATTCTTTTGTTATGTTTTGAAACAATATGTTTGTGAATCATTACTTCTCCTTTCTTGTCTAACGTCAAGAGTTTTTGATCTTCATAAAATAAATAATAGGGAAAAAGGTCTTATTTGGAAAGTACATCTGGGGTGGCCTTGTGCCAATCTTTATCCCCAGAGAGAGAGAGAAATTAACCAAATATGTTCAGCCCCCACCTACAATGTAATCCTTGTTATTCCTCTTCTTTCACAAACAAACGCTTGTTAAAACACATTGTTTATATATTCTGCGTAAGTAATGTGCGATTTTATGTATTAAATTAAATGCAATTTTTTAATGTACAGTGTAACCCGGATATAAGAGAGTTGTCGGGACCGGAGAAGAAGTCTCTTATATCCGGGTTTGGTCTATTTTGTTTAAGTAAGTATGGGCT